TCCTCACAGATAGCAGAGAAGACTCTTGTTTTTAGTGGTCTGGTCTTTATAAAATTGACTACACCTACAATGTCAGTCATAACCTCACTTAATTCAGAGGAAAGGTGCCTTGATGCCAGTGCTTCTCTGTGTATAACACAGTGTGTCCACTCAGCATTAGGTGAGGCCATCTTAATGAGTGCCCAAAGTCCTTTTCTCATCCCTGCCATGGTCTGTGCACCATCACTGCAAACACCAATGCAGTTCTCCCACTTTAGCCCATTCTCAGTCAGGAAGCAGTCCAGCATTTTGAATATCTCTTCAGCTGTGGCTCTGTCTCTGACATATTTACAAAAAATTGTCATGTCAAAACGTACATAAGCGATAAACAAACAGTCTTTGTTGCAGTCAGTTGCTTCATCGAACTGTAAGGCAAAACGTTTGTCTTTGAGTTTATCTACCAGCTGTTCTTTAAGATCGTTAGCAATGTCATTTATACGTCTGGCGACGGTGTCATTGGACAGAGGGATAGTTTTTATTTTTGCAGCACCATGTCTAATGCTGCAGGCAGTATCAGCTCCTCTGCTATGGAGTGTTTTTTTTTGCACTGAGCAATTTGGTACGCCACCTTATATGATGCTAACAGTGCTCGCTGGTTTACTGAAGTAGCATTCACAAAGCGGGACGATTGTTGGCAATATTCGGCACGTTTTCGCTGAAAAAACTCAAGCGGCTTATCAGCGTGATTGGGGTGTAATGTCTTTAAGTGACGCCTTAATTTATTTGGCTTCATGCTATCCGCTGCCAACATTTGTAGAAACAGTAAACATACCGGTCTTTCCTCGTCTCCCACCGTAGTCACAGTGAAGCCAAGCGCTACATACGCTTCGTCATATTTGCACACATATATATATAAAAAGCATGTTCCCCGGGGTCACACGCGCCCCCCACTGGCATCGCTCTGAGCCCCCCCAGGGGGGCGCGCCCCACTATTTGAGAAGGACTGCCCTATAGTAACTTACTTGTCACGCCCTGACTCTGAGGACTTGTATTTGTTGAGTCAGGGTGTGTATCTTCTGTGTTGGGTTTGCTAGTTTGTTTTCTATGTTTTAGATCTAGAATGTGTAGATCTATGTTGGCCGGGGTGGTTCCCAATCAGAGACAGCTGTAGCTCGTTGTCTCTGATTGGGGACCATACTTAGGTAGCCTGTTGGCACTAGTGGGTTGTGGGATCTTGTTCCGTGTAAGGTATGTTGTTTGTATGCTACCTTGGACTTCACGTTTCGTTTGTTGTTTTGTCGTGTGTTTAGCCGTAATAAATATGAATGCATATCACGCTGCGCCTTGGTCCTTCTCGTTCGTAAACGATCGTGACATTACTATAGAGTAAATTTTTGATTAGTTGGAAAATAATCTTTTTGGTATCATGTCAACACTTGATGATTTGTTCCTCAACTGCATGTGTAAAGTAATTATGTGATTATAGTATGTGTGTTTAATTCAGTTTGATTCTATACTGCTGGTGTGTGTTATTCCTATGAATGAAAATTAGCTTTCTCTATAGGCATTGGACTCCACAAGTTGGCTCAGTGTCAGAACTGTAATCTCCTTTAAACTGTAGATTACCTTTGGTCCGGGAATATTACTGGCAGAACAGATAATAATGTTCAGGAAATACAGTCAGGTATTTAATTTGAAAGGCTATTTCCCTGACGTTCGCTTTCATGGTAAACGCTGCGGAAGACGGCTCAAGTGTAAATTACCTTTAAAAGGCGCATTGTAGATAGTGCCTTTGAATGAATCCAGACCTGAATCTCTAGATATGTTTATCTGATACAAACATACAGTCAGGTCCAATATTATTGGCACCCTTGATAAAGATGAGCAAAAAAAAAAAGTATAAAATAAATAATACAAATACTGAGCTATATTATATGCCTTTTCTTTTTTGAAAATGATATTATTTTATACTAATACAATTGCATAGAGAAAGAGATTTTGTTTAACAAGTAATACTTTTTTCTCACAAAAAGACAGGGGTCAAAAGTTTTGGCACCCCTGTTTTCAATACCTTTCAATACTTCACCTTGCGAGGATAACGGCACTGAACCTTTTCCTAAAATGTTTTATGATATTGGAAAAAAACATTGGGATGGATCTTAGACCATTCCTCCATAAAGAATTTTGTTGACGTTTGTTACATTTGTTGGATGACATGAAAATTGATTTATTTGGTGTCAAAATAAGGATGCATAAGCAGAAAATAACCCCATACCTAATGTAAAATATGGTTGGGGATCTTTGATGTTATTGGGCTATTTTGCTTCCACTGGTCCTGGGGCCCCTACAAGCATCACTACATCAACCATTGTCTCCTGACTCCCACTAAGAACTAAAGAGCAAGTATACAATATATTACAGATGAATTAAACGTTATTATTGTTACATAAAAATAAAGATCACCCAATCTCAGAAATGCTTTATTTTATTTAATTATGATGGCGGGGTCATAAAAAATGGAGCAAAAAAACAACAACTATAAAAACAAACAGTGGATTAAACAGGAAATGTATAAAACAAATTGTAGCCTCTGACATATAACAGTACAATGTAACAAATTGGCACAAAACGGAAAGAAAAAGAGTATGTTGACAATCTAATTTTGGCTTTGACAAAAAAAGGGAGTTACGTATATCTTCATAACAAGATCAATCCTTCATTACAACAGCGAGGACTCATGCATTTAGTCACACAGTTAGTTTTCAGTAGCTTCATATCAAATGAAGGACAGGTCAGTCTAACCAACTAGCCTGATGATGGATGAACATGAAACACTTCCCATTTCTCTCTTCATTTGTGTCTTCATTTCTAGTTCTTTTTCTTCAGCTTAAACAGACATCATGTTAATGTAATACTTCAGGTTTTTTTTTTTTAAACAAACTTCATGACTTCCAGAGCTGTACTTCAGACCGCTCTGGATTCCTTGACCTTCAAATCATTTTTCATACTAAAATATATTATTGTATCAATTCAAACTACAGTATTGTACACTACAATGTGTGTAATAAATAATCATAAAGAAATATAAAAATAAGACACATAAATATAAAAAGTCCTATAAAACCTAAATAGGTACACTTTTATCAGTGAAAAGGGTTCTAATACTGCCATTGTTGAAAATGCACACACATTTAAAAAAAACTAAAGCCAAACTGAAAAATAATTATGTAACACTGTTAGGTAAAATCAACTGAAACACTTCATAAAACACAGGGATCGTATTCACTAACATTTGTTACCTGAAGTGAGGGTTAGTTTGCCACCATTTTTTAAAACAAGTGCACTCAACTAATAATGGCTGACACTCCAACACAGCAAAATCCCCTTAAATACTGTAAAAACCTTTCCTATCCATCTTATTCTCTCTTTGTTCCTTTTTGTTCACACACACATTCATGCTATTGTCCTAGTCCCAAATGGCCACTTTATCCCTACATAGTGTAGTACTTTGGACCAGACCCCTATAGTGCACCAATAGGTAATATGATGGCATTTGGGACGAAGCACAAGTTAACTAAAAATGAGTCCAAGCAAGTAAACAAACATTATTCAAAATGGGCCTTGCGCAGATTGAAAGACGTACTGGCTACATCCGTGAAGTAAAAATAACACTGTTCTTGCATAAGGCTGGAGGCATTGGGGCGGGGTACAGCGCAGAACTGCCCCCCTCCTGCTTCATATGACCCTATAACACTGATGATCGTTGATTAACAACTAACCAAACCAAAAACAAGGGGTACGTCCCACAAGGGGTACGTCCCAATAATCTCGCCTTTCTCCAAACGTGTGCACTTGTTCTCTTCCCTTCGTGGATTTGAAAGCAAAGGACTGGTATACAAAATATTGTGGAAACTCCCCCTAGTTTAGCCCATGCCTACACCAATCCAATGCTTTTACATTTGTGGGGAGTAGTAAACAAGTGCAGACTTCAGGAAGAAGGTGAGATTATTGGGACGCGACCAAGGAGAAACGTGATAAGAATGCTGGATTTGAGGTTGTGACACCTTCCCTGATAGGACAGTTTGGTTATGGCGTCAGATGCCACATCATCATCCCCACCATCTCACCCCTCCCTAGCCTGGTCCCAGATCTGTTTGTGCTCTTGCCAATTCCATTGCTGTCCTTGACAAGCCAAACATGGCATGACAATGAGTGACAAGGAGTTAACATGATAGTACAAACTGACTGGCACTCAGGCTAACCCCCTCCCACCCATACCCCAGAATCCTCTTTTCTTCTTAAGGCTAACAATCCAACTGAAAACAAAATGCTATGCTAAGGTTAGCTAACATAAAGAAGATCTATAGCTAGTGTGTACATAATCATACTAAAGGGTGAACAACACATCATGAGGCATGTTTTATCCATAGGTAAACCAGGAATACTGTAGTGCAGAGTTTTTTTTTTTTTTTAGAACTCAATAAAATACAGATTTTAGCAAACACCGTCATTGGGCAATAAAAAGGTATAGAAATCTTTCTTCAACTGTACAGGTTAAAAGGTTAAAACATGAGCGGCAAAATTAGTAATAACATTGACAAACAGAAATTACCTGGGATCGAATGTCTCACTCTCAGTAACAAAAGTCCATGGGTGTTTGTTTTCTTTCTTTTAAAATGTATAATACTTCTATAAACAAGGTCTAAGTAACACTGATTTTCTTCCACAAATAAAAGTCACTGATTTATTGTCTAGTTCAGGCACACCTGGGATTGAACACAGTAGTGGACCGACAACACACCATCAACATGGCAGCCATGTTTGTTTTGTTTCTTCTTTTGACAACAAGACAAGATTTTCCTGTCTTGATATTTGACACCTTTTGATTTCCATTTTCAACACAAAATGTATTTTTCATTCACGGTTCATCTTGTTTTCCTCTGTTTCTTTCTGTCCATTTTCTAAGCATCTTTAATGTTCTCCTTGTCCACATGCAGATCTTTGTCCTCTGTTTCCATAGCTTACACTGTTGCCAAAGTTTCCTTCTCTGCCACTCCTTCCTCCTCCTCCCCTTCTACATCTCCCATCACCTGTACCTCCATCCCCTCCTCCTCCTCTTCCTCATACACATCCTCCTGCTGTACAGACTCCTCTCTGCTCTCTTCCTCCTCTTCTTCCTCTCTCCTCCATTCCTCTTCCTCCACCTCCTCCTGGTGTGCCTCCTCCTCTCTCCGCCCTTCTTCCTCCTCCTCTCTCCTCCCTTCCTCCTCTTCCTCACACACCTGCTCCTGCTGTACAGACTTCTCTTCCTCTCTGCTCCCTTCCTCCTTATTTTCCTGCTGTCCTTCCTCCTCTTCCTCATGTGCCTCCTCCTCTCTGCTCCCTTCTTCCTCATCCTCTTGTCTCTCCTCCCCAAACTCCTCCACCTCGTAGATCTCACTCTCTTCATCATCCTCGCCCACCTGCACCACCCGTATGTCGTCCATGCTCATGGCTTCCATGCCCTCCTTCTCTCCCTCCTCTTCCTCCAGCTCCTCCTCACTCTCCCTCTCGTCTGAGTCCAGTTGGGAGGGAGGGGAGGTGGGCCGGCTGTCTGACTGCTGCTCCTCTGTTTGGGGGCTCATTTCGGGGCTCATTCCGAGCCGACGCCCCACCTGACGATCTCCCTGGGGCTCCTTCTTGCAGTATGAGTATCGGTGGTTCATGTGCTGGGAGTAGGAGCCCGAGTGGGAGAAACACTTGCCACACTTGTCACACCGGTAGGGTTTCTCTCCGGAGTGCAGACGCGTGTGTTCTATCAAGTGGTGCTTGTGTTTGAAGGCTTTGTTGCAGATGCCGCACTCGTGTGGCCGTTTTCCTGAAAACAGAAGAGAAGAAGAGAGAAGAATAGATTACTTTAGTGCCCAATGTACATGGATGTTTAACAGAAACTTCTGCTTTATTTAAACCCCTCTGAAAGACACACAGACACATACCGAGTTTGGGTTGGAAAAGTTGGAGAGAGAAACTTCTCCATTAAACACACAACATAGGTGTTTGCTTAAACCTGTGTAAAAGTTTTTTTCGGGGGTGAGAAATCAATCCGTAACCCATTACTCTTGATTTGCTGTGTGTGTGTGTGTGTGTGTGTGTGTGTGTGTGTGTGCACTGCTTTTACCATTACATTAGTTCTGTCACTGTCTACATTACACTGACCTGCCTGTAGACTTACTAACTGTGAAACCAACAGCATTTGTTATGGAAACAATATCATAACACAAACCCTCACAATTATATATACTGAACAAAAATATAAATGCAACGAGCGGGCCCTCATCGACCACTTCCGGTGCCATCTACATTTACATTTACATCATTTAGTAGACGCTCTTATCCAGAGCGACTTACAAATTGGTGCATTCAACTTATGATAGCCAGTGGGACAACCATATTTTTATTTTATTTTTTTTATGGAGAGGGGGGGGGGGTAGAAGGATTACTTTATACTATTCCAGGTATTCCTTAAAGAGGTAGGGTTTCAAGTGTCTCCGGAAGGTGGTCAGTGACTCCTCTGTCCTGGCGTCGTGGGGGAGCTTGTTCCACCATTTGGGTGCCAGAGCAGCAAATAGCTTTGACTGGGCTGAGCGGGAACTGTGCTTCTGTAGAGGTAGGGGAGCTAGCAGGCCAGAGGTGGATGAACGTAGTGCCCTCGTTTGGGTGTAGGGTCTGATCAGAGCCTGAAGGTAAGGAGTTGCCGTTCCCCTCACAGCTCCGTAGGCAAGCACCATGGTCTTGTAGTAGATGCAAGCCTCAACTGGAAGCCAGTGGAGTGTGCGGAGGAGCGGGGTGACATGAGAGAACTTGGGAAGGTCGAACACCAGACGGGCTGCAGCGTTCTGGATAAGTTGTAAGGGTTTAATGGCACAGGCAGGGAGCCCAGCCAACAGCGAGTTGCTGTAATCCAGACGGGAGATGACAAGTGCCTGGATTAGGACCTGTGGCTCTTTCTGTGTAAATTACATTTTACATTTTACATTTTAGTCATTTAGCAGACGCTCTTAACCAGAGCGACTTACAGGAGCAATTAGGGTTAAGTGCCTTGCTCAAGGGCACATTAACGTCATTTAGCAGACGCTCTTAGCCAGAGCGACTCACAAATTGGTGCGTTCACCCTATAGCCAGTGGGATAACCACTTTACAACCACTTTACAATTAGGGTCGTACTCTCCGAATGTTGTAGAGCATGAACCTGCAGGATCGGGTCACCGCCTTGATGTTAGCAGAGAACGACAGGGTGTTGTCCAGGGTCACGCCAAGGCTCTTCGCACTCTGGGAGGAGGACACAACGGAGTTGTCAACCGTGATGGCGAAATCATGGAGCGGGTAGTCCTTCCCCGGGTGGAAGAGCAGCTCCGTCTTGCCGAGGTTCAGCTTGAGGTGGTGATCCGACATCCACACTGATATGTCTGCCAGACATGCAGAGATGCGATTCGCCACCTGGTTATCAGAAGGGGGAAAGGAGAAAATTCATTGTGTGTCATCTGCGTAGCAATGATAGGAGAGACCATGTGAGGATATGACAGAGCCAAGTGACTTGGTGTATAGAGAGAATAGGAGAGGGCCTAGAACTGAGCCCTGGGGGACACCAGTGGTGATAGCACGTGGTGCGGAGACAGATTCTTGCCACGCCACCTGGTAGGAGCGACCTGTCAGGTAGGACGCAATCCAAGAGTGAGCAGCGCCGGAGATGCCCAACTCGGAGAGGGTGGAGAGGAGGATCTGATGGTTCACAGTATCAAAGGCAGCGGATAGGTCTAGAAGGATAAGAGCAGAGGAGAGCGAGATAGCTTTAGCAGTGTGGAGAGCCTCTGTGACACAGAGAAGAGCAGTCTCAGTTGAATGACCAGTCTTGAAACCTGACTGGTTTGGATCAAGAAGGTCATTCTGAGAGAGATAGCAGGAGAGTTGGCTAGAGACGGCACGCTCAAGAGTTTTGGAGAGAAAATAAAGAAGGGATACTGGTCTGTAGTTGTTGACATCGGAGGGATCGAGTGTAGGTTTTTTTGAGGAGGGGTGCAACTCTCGCTCTCTTGAAGACGGAAGGGACATGGCCAGCGGTCAAGGATGAGTTGATGAGCGAGGTGAGGTAAGGGAGAAGGTCTCTGGAAATGGTCTGGAGAAGAGAGGAGGGAGTAGGGTCAAGTGGGCAGGTTGTTGGGCGGCCGGCCGTCACAAGTCGCAAGATTTCATCTGGAGAGAGAGGGGAGAAAGAAGTCAAAGCATAGGGTAGGGCAGTGTGAGCAGGACCAGCTGTGTCATTTGACTTAATAAATGAGGATCGGATGTCGTCAACCTTCTTTTCAAAATGGTTGACAAAGTCATCCACAGAGAGGGAGGAGGGAGGGGGAGGAGGAGGAGTATTCAGCAGGGAGGAGAAGGTGGCTTCCTAGGGTTAGAGGCAGAGGCTTGACATTTAGAGTGGTAGAAAGTGGCTTTAGCAGCGGAAACAGAGGAAGAGAATGTAGAGAGGAGGGAGTGAAAAGATGACAGGTCCGCAGTGAGTCTAGTTTTCCTCCATTTCCGCTCGGCTGCCCGGAGCCCTCTTCTGTGAGCTCGCAATGAGTCGTCAAGCCACGGAGCAGGAGGGGAGGACCGAGCCGGCCGGGAGGATAGGGGACATAGAGAGTCAAAAGATGCAGAAAGGGAGTAGAGGAGGGTTGAGGAGGCAGAATCAGGAGATCGGAGGGAGAAGGATTTAGCACAGGGAAGAGATGATAGGATGGAAGAGAAGAGAGTAGCGAGAGAGAGAGAGAGCGAAGGTTGCGACGGCACATTACCATCTGAGTAGGGGCAGAGTGAGTAGTGTTGGAGGAGAGCGAGAGAGAAAAGGATACAAAGTAGTGGTCGGAGACTTGGAGGGGAATTGCAGTGAGATTAGTAGTAGAACAGCATCTAGTAAAGATGAGGTCAAGCGTATTGCCTGCCTTGTGAGTAGGGGGGGACGGTGAGAGGGTGAGCTCAAAAGAGGAAAGGAGTGGAAAGAAGGAGGCAGAGAGAAATGAGTCAAAGGCAGACGTAGGGAGGTTAAATTCACCCAGAACTGTGAGGGGTGAGCCATCCTCAGGAAAGGAACTTATCAAGGCGTCAAGCTCATTGATAAACTCTCCAAGGGAACCTGGAGGGCGATAAATGACAAGGATGTTAAGCTTGAATGGGCTAGTGACTGTGACAGCATGGAATTCAAATGAGGAGATAGACAGATGGGTCAGGGGAAAAAGAGAGAATGTCCACTTGGGAGAGATGAGGATTCCTGTGCCACCGCCGCGCTGACCAGATGCTCTCGGGGTATGCGAGAACACATGGTTAGACGAGGAAAGAGCAGTAGGAGTAGCAGTGTTTTCTGTGGTAATCCATGTTTCCGTCAGTGCCAAGAAGTCGAGGGACTGGAGGGTAGCATAGGCTGAGATGAACTCTGCCTTGTTGGCTGCAGAACGGCAGGTCCAGAGGCTGCCAGAGACCTGGAACTCCACGTGGTTCGTGCGCGCAGGGACCACCAGATTAGAGTGGCAACAGCCACGTGTTGTGAAGTGTTTGTATGGCCTGTGCAGAGAGGAGAGAACAGGGATAGACAGACACATAGCTGACAGGCTACAGAAAAAGGCTACAATAATGCAAAGGAGATCGGAATGAAATTAACTGAACATCTGGGAAAGCGAGAGAGCGGGGCCTCCCTCACTTACGTTTCAAGGAAAACACTCAAATAAAACTCTCCCAACTTCACTTTAAAAATTATAATTGTTGTAAACTACAGCGGTTCAATGTTTTCTAGGAATAGACTCTAACTTAGTTTATTCAGCTAGCTAACTTGGTACAGTATTCTTTCGGACATCTACGAGAGGATGTCCGAAGGGAGCTAGCCTGCCAGGACACCACGTTGTCTTTCGATAAGCGGGCGTTACGCACAGAGCCATCTCCACCTCAGTGTCCAGCTGGGCTGCAGTACGTGCCTTCTCTTGTCCTTGACCGTCTGATCTATTGTGCACACACGTCCCACTCCTCTGGTTACCCAGGTATCGGTCGTACAGTGTGCTGCCTGACTGGAAAGTACTGGTGGCCTACCTTGGCTAAGGACTGCTCGGTGTGCGCCCAGAGTAAGGCACCTAGGCCTTTACCAGTTTCACAATGGCCATGGTTCCACTTGTGTATTGACTTCCTTACTGATCTTCCCTCTCTCAAGGTAACACCACCATCCTGGTCGTTGTGGACCGCTTTTCCAAAGCCTACTGCCTCCATCTTTGCCCGGTCTCCCCACGGCCCTGCAGACTGCGGAGGCCCTGTTTACGCACGTCTTCCGGCACTACGGGGTGCAAGAGGACATAGTGTCTGACCGGCGTCCCCAGTTCACATCCAGGGTCTGGAAGGCGTTCATGGAACGTCTGGGGGTCTCGGTCAGCCGAGACCTCTGGTTTTCACCCCGAGTGTAATGGGCAGGTGGAACGGGTGAATCAGGATGTGGGTAGGTTCCTGCGGTCTTACTGCCAGGACCGGCCGGGGGAGTGGTCGGTGTTCTTGCCATGGGCCGAATTTGCCCAGAACTCTCTCCGCCACTCCTCCACTAACCTAACAACATTTCAATGTGTTTTAGGTTACCAGCCGGTTCTGGCACCATGGCATCAGAGCCAGACCGAGGCTACTGCGGTGGATGACTGGTTTCGGCGCGCGGAGGAGACGTGGAACGCTGCTCACGTCCACCTCCAACGCGCCGTGTGTCGCCAGAAGGCCAACGCTGACCGCCACTGCAGTGAGGCCCCGGTCTTTGTACCGGGTGATCGGGTCTGGCTCTCGACCCGGAATCTGCCCCTCCGCCTGCCCTGCCGGAAGCTGAGCCCGCGGTTTGTGGGGCCGTTCAAAGTCCTGAGGAGAATAAACGAGGTTACTTATAGGTTACTACTCCCTCCTGATTACCGCATTAACCCCTCGTTCCATGTGTCTCTCCTCAGGCCGGTGGTTGTTGGTCCGCACCATGACATCGAGGGGGCCCCGGAGTACTCCATCCGTTCCATCCTGGGGGGCCTTCAGTACCTCGTGGAGTGGGAGGGGTACGGTCCGGAGGAGCGGTGCTGGGTCCCGGTGATGGATATCCTCGATCCCTCCCTGTTGCGGGATTTCCACCGTCGCCATCCGGCTCGCCCTGCTCCGCGTCCTCCTGGTCGTCCCCGAGGCCGGTGTCGGCCCGCTGCTGGTACTGTCACGACTTCCTCCGAGGCTGCCTCCTCTCCTTGTTTGGGCAGGCTTCGGCGTTCATCGTCACCGGCCTTCTAGCCACTGCCGCTCCTCATCTCATCATTCCATTTGTTTTGTCTTGTTTATTACACCCACCTGGTTCATATCCCCTCATCAGTACCTGTATAACTGCCCCCTTGTCTTTGTGTGTGATTGTTTATTGTGGAGGAAAGAGTAGCTCGGTGGAGCTCTGTGTATTTTGTATGCTGGGATATTTCCCCTTGTGCCTTGTATTTTCCAGTGCGCCTGTTTTGCACACTTGAGTGTTCTGATGCATTACTGCGTAACTTTGTGCTTCAGAATAAATCCTGTTATTCTGTAATTTACCCTCCTGCGCCTGACTCCTTCCAAATCACCTCATCACAGTAGTCATAGCTGGACCAGACCAACACCCACCTGCCCTCTCAGAATAGAATAGAGCACTGCTAATTGTAAACAGACTTTGTGTCCCAAATGGCACCCTATTCTCCTATGGGCCCTGGTCAAAAGTAGTGCACTACTAGGGTGCCATTTGTGATGCACACAGAGCCTTTAACGCCAAATCCAAATCTCATCAAAGTGCTGGAGCCATTGGTTACGCATGCATCCCATAGGAAAGAATTAATGTGTGTTTTAGGAGGACATTAGTTGGTTTAAAGATGCACTATGCAGAAAAATCGCTCCGTCATTTCCTGATTGCAAAAATTCGAATAGTTCGCCTAATTTCAGTTTATGTGACAAAACAAGCAGTTATTGTGTAGAATCTGTACCATCTTAACCACTGTGAAATATATTTTCCATAACCAAAAATATTGTATTTTCAGCTGTTTGAAGCTGGTGTACCAAACCGAAAGTAAAAGACGCAATAATTAAACATAAGAATGGGAAGCATAGAAATAGTGCACATAGAACAGATCGACCGCTTCTTAGACATGCTTTCAATGCAAATTACAGATCTATAACTCACATTTCTACGTGAAGTTGGTCGGGTCACACAAAAAGTTACATATTGTAGCATTAAGAGGACATTAGCTATGCGGTTTAAGAGGACTATATTAGGCTGTTATACCAGCTTCAGGGAAGAAGCATTGGTTTACCATATGAAAGTAGCAGGTAAAGTAAAGACCTTAGTCTTTTAAATGCCTGTCAATGCTATCCCCATTCTGTATATCATGCAAGAAGTGAAGTAATATCTCATAGCACAGACGAGAAGGGCTGACATAGGCCAGGCAGCTCTCATTCAAGAGGAAAGAATTATCAGAGTTGAAGTGATGATCTAAGATCAGGTTCCCACTTGTCCATATAATCTTGTTCATCGTGCTCTAAAAGGCAAAGCTGATCCTAAATCCTCACTCCTACTATGAGATGCTTTATACATACGGCCCCTGACCCAATGGACCCGCAACCACCGGGCATATCATTTACCTGTGTGTTCGTATTTATGCCTGAGCAGGGAGCTGCTCTTCTGGAAGATCTTGTCACATAGGTCACAGGCGTACATGCCACTCTCCAGCCGACGCATCTTCTTCTGCGGAGGGGCCGAGTCCGAGTCGTTCTGCTCCTCTACCGCCGACACGCCCTCTGAGCTGGTGTCAGCCTTCTCCTCCTGTCAAAGTAAAAGACAGATGCTTTAATAATAAATTATTATTATTCATTATTTAACTTATAATTTCCCAGTGCTTAAAAAGCAAAATAATGATAAGGCAAAATTGCAAATCTGTACAAATCTGACATTGCTATTACTGTATAATCATGCGAGACTAGACCATAAAAGCAGCAGTATGTAAAACACAGTGTTTCCACTGTCAAAGGCCTTTCTGTCAGTTGTAGTGAGCCAGCAGGAGTACTTAGAGAGATCTCTCTGCCAGACCTGTCTGCCAGACACTGACAGATGTGGGTTTTCAGACAGACTGTGCTGTGAGCCGCTCACGCGTATAAACATACGAGGATTCATTCTGCTAGTCTTCTTTTTCACACACACTAGTATGCACGCACGCACGCACGCACACACACACACACACACACACACACACACACACACACACACACACACACAATCCCCTGACTCCTACAGGAAGAATCCAACTCAACTCCAGGCTGCGGCAGATAATTCTGTCTGCTGTCATGCACGCATGGAGTATTAGGTAACTTCACCTGGTACATACATCATCCAGGCCAGGGAAGCCTGGAGGGAACCCAAACCATTCAGCCAGGACTGCTTTCATTTTTCCACAGACAGTGAGAATGAGTTCCAAATTGCAGAGCACTATGGGCCCTGGTCAAAAGTACTACATCATATAGGGAATAGAGTACCATTTGAGACGCAGACTGACTCCTTGCGGCTGGGTTATTCAGGATAGTCAGTAAAGCTGCAGGAAACTAATGGAAACTCACAGCGCATTCCTTCCACAGTGTTCTTCTGCTCTGCTCTTCTACTGAATCAATGTGTGCTGTTAGACATAACAGACTCCTCTGTTGGTGTCTGTACAGTGTGTGTGTGTGTGTGTGTGTGTTTGTGGTGTGTGTGTGGTATCCCTCTCCTTCACTGATTGATTTCCCCCTAATAGTAATGAATAACTGTCTTGTGTATCTCTTCATATTGTCTCATCTCACACATTTCCAACATTCTGAATAGCTTGCTCACAAACCAACCTGGAAGCCGTTGAGTATGACGGTCTTCTGGGCTCCTTCAGCCCCAGTGGCGTTGCTGCCTGCTGTAGTGGTGTATGTGTAGGTGAGCTGGGGGATGAGGATAGTCCGTTTGGTGGTGCCAGTGGAGATGGCCCTGAGGCAGGACATGCCGCTGCCCTGGTTGGTGATGGCTACCAGCTGGGTGGTCATGATGTTAACCGGGCTGGAGGTGGCCATCTGGGGGGGGGAGGTGACGTAGATGGTGTTGGTGGTTCCCTGAGCCTGGAGCTGGGCCTGGAGCTGGGGATGGAGCTGGGGATGGAGCGTCTCCTTCTTCAAACAGGTGAGGTTGAGGGGTTGCTCCTGGGGAACATGGGGGACCTGGGGCTCTGATTGGGGCTGCTTGGGAAGGGACAGGTCCAGGGGAAGATCTTGAGACTCGCCCTCCGAGTCCTCCTCCGTTTTCACGATGGCCAGGCCGCTGGAGGAGAGGTTTAGTGGTGAGGGACCCGAGGCTGAGACCAAGGGGGAGGCGGAGGTCGAGGCAGGGGAACTGTTGGGAGGTTGGGAAAATGATGTCTCCTGGGTTTGGGCCGAGGCAAGTTGCTCCTCTATCTGCTCTCCGCTCTTCTCTTGGGATTCCTGGGTCTCTGTGCTGGGTTCTGCTGAAAGTTGAGGGGAAGAGGAACCAGGAGGCTCGACGGTAATCTGACCGGACCGCATCTTCTCAAACCATTTCTTGACTATGACCACGGGCAAGCTGACGTTGTCGGAGATCTTGGCCAGCTCTTCCTCGGAGGGCTCTGCGTTTAAGGCGAAGTAGGCCTTGAGGAGGGAGAGCAGGTTCTTCAGAGGGGGCTGGCCTGGTGTTATCCCTGATTCTGCCAGCAGGGCGGCGATAGAGGGATCCAGGGGGCTGCCGTCGCCCCCCTCCCCATTGGTAGGTTTACAGTGCTGGAGCATGTGTAGTGCATCCAAACCACCAGGACAGTCATCACACAGCAGACATGTTGTCTTGCCTGTCTGGGCCTTTGGTGTCTCACCCTCCTTACTCTGCTCTGCCTCTGCCTCGGTCTGAGCCTCCTCTGTCTCCATCGCCTTCTCAGACTCAGGCTCAGAGTCGGGCTGCTCGGTCTTGACGATGCTGAGGTCCTGGGAGAGTTTCTCTGTTACTTTGGAGGCTGGCTGTGTGTTTGTGGTGGTGGTGGTGGTGGGGGCAGGGGGAGGCTCCTTCTTGAGGAGCTGAGGTGTGCTGGGCTGTTGGGCCAGTTTGGGCTCCAGGGTGTAGTTAATAATGATCTTGGTGGTTCCGTCCTGGTCTACGAAGCCAGGCAGGCTGATGGCTGAGATGACCTGTTGCCCAGCTTGCCCCACCACCCCCTGCTTGGACGTCCCCAGCACCTGGCGCAACACGTTCCCATCCATGGCCACCTTGTAAATAAAAAGGTCCACAATGGAAATAAGAAACCTTTTTTTGTGTTATCCTTGATGAGTAGTGGTCCTAAAGCTTATTGTTAAAATGTGTAAAAGTCACTTGGATGATAGATACAGAAACAGCAAGGTTAACAAATGACCACAACATCAAGGGGCACCATACAGTAGCTAGATTTAGTCATTTCTGACCACAAGGGGCCCTTTAAACCTTTTTGTGTTATTTTGGATTATTTTAAATGCATGGTTGAATTCTGTTTTTAAATCACCAAATAAATACAAATCAAACCTTGAGTACGTTCTGCAGGTCGCTGAGATTAATACTGATAGGAGACATCAAACCAACGGTGGGCAGTACCACCGTCTGGACCACGCCCTGGGGCAGCGTCGTGCCCTGGGGTACCGCCACGCCACCGGTAAACACTGTCCCGTTAGTCCCCGCTGCCCCGTTAGGCCCCACCGCCACCGGCTTGTACTCATATTCCACCGGCTCTGATTTGATCTGGTTGAGGGGGAGCTGCTCCTGAAGGGGCTTGCCATCTGTCTTCTCCCCCCGGAGGAGCAGTCGGGCAGGGGCTACGGCAGCAGTGCCGGAAAGCTGGGTCTGGGTGGTGGGGCTCTGGGAGGCCTTGATGACTGGTCGGGGGGTACCGTTGACAGGCACCATGCCAACACACTTCTTACTGCTAATGTGGGAGCTGTAGGACCCTGAGTGGGAAAACCGCTTCTTACAGTTGGGGCACTCGTATGGCTTCTCTCCTGCGAGAAATTAGTAGAATAATAAGAATAGAGTAATCGAATAAAGCTACTTCCAGGAAACATAAGGTTTGTGTCCCAAATGGCACCCTATTCCCTATATAGTGCACTACTTTCGACACCTATGGGCCCTGGTCAGAAGTAGTGCATTACATGGGGAATAGGGTGCCATTTGGGATGCAGATTAACAAACAGGCTGAGGTAATGGAGTCATGTCCCTGAAGCCAATAGCATCAGAATTATGACACATTGGCGAGAAGCACAGATTCAATAATTATCGTAATCAAGAATCTGAAATTATAGAGCTGCATATTATAAACATATTAAAGGAAATGTTTAGTTAGGTACATCTGGACCAACAGTGCTGTGAATATGGGTGAGTCACTAGGGTTCTGTCCCAAATGGCACCCTATTCCCTATAGCCTATGGTGCACTACCTTTGACCAGGTCTGCGTCCCAAATGGCCGATAGGGCTCTGGTCAAAAATAGTGCACTATATTAGAGAATAGGATAGCATTTGGGACTCAGCCCATGTGAGTCATCCCATGTGTGTGTTGCCACGGTGACCAAGGTGATGCCAGTATTACTCACCGCTGTGAATGCGCAGGTGCTCCTTCAGGTGGTGCTTGTATTTAAAAGCCTTGGAACACTCTGTGCACATGAACTTCCTATTCCCCCCTGTTGTTGTCGTGGTTTGGGGCACGTGGCGCTAGCAGACAGACAGAAGAGCAGACAGCGGTGTGAGGACACTCTCCAATCAACGGGTACAGCGTAGTTCATGTTTGCTTCCCAAATGGCACCCTATTCCCTATGCAGTACACTACTTTTGACCAGGGTCCATAGGGCTCTGGTCAAAAGTAGTGCAGAGTAGTGCGGTATATAGGGAATATCATGCCATTTGGGACACAGACTATTTGTTTGTTGTGCATGGTGAGAAGACTCTTCAGTCAATGTGTACAGTGTAGTTAATGTGTTCGTTGTGCATGGGGATGTTTTGGTCTGAGTGCTTATATTACATTGTCCTAGAATGTCACAACAGTACTCTGTCTAAAGTCAGAGCATGCTCTTGTTGCTGTCTGAAGGATGTGCAATGCATTCCCAGTCAACAGTAGTCCTGTGTGGCTCAGTTGGTAGAGCATGGCGCTTGTGACGCCAGGGTTGTGGGTTCAATTCCCACAGGGGACCAATACAAAATAGTATGAAAACGTATGCAGGCGCCTCCCGAGTGGCGCAGCGCTTGAGGCGTCACTACAGATCTGGGTTTGATACCGGGCTGTGTCGCAGCCGGCCGCGACCTGGTGACCCATGAGGTGAAGCACGATTGGCCCAGCGTAGTCTGGGTTAGGGGAGGGTTTGGCTGGCTGGGATGTCCTTGTCCCATCACACTCTAGTGACTCCTGTGGCGGGCCAGGTGCATGCACGCTGACACGGTTGCCAGTTGTACAGTGTTTCCTCTGACACATTGGTGCGGCTGGCTTCCGGGTTAAGTGAGCAGTGTGTCAAGAAGCAGTGCGGCTTGGCAGGGTTGTGTTTCGGAGGATGCATGGCTCTCTCCCGAGTCCGTACGGGAGTTGCAGTGATGGCACAAGACTGTAACTATCAATTGGGGAGAAAAAAGGGTAAAAACAAAGGTATGCAGTTGCTCTGGATAAGGACATCATGTGATACAGATACATTCTTAAAATTGCTCTGTCAAAGAATAAAGGGAGAATTCTTTACAGTACCACTTAAACATTTAACGGGTCAGCTAAAATGTTGTGTGCATCCCAAATGGCTGACCATACACTTCACTAAAAGCCTGAGGACCTTAGTCCCACACGTACATCACTTCCTGATCTCGCGACACAGTTGGCATCAGTTGCTGGGATTGCTAGTCTCTGTCCAGTGATCCTGCCGACAAACGACGGGTCTGAGGAGCTATTTGGTGTTGCAGCTAGCCTAGCTGCTAGCTAGCAGCATATCAAGCTAGCAGGGTTAGCCATTGTGGCTGGGACTGCGGATTGTCCAGGGTTTGTGGATGTCTAGATCCCTGCTGTTTGTTGTTTTCAATCTTCCCTGTGACCTGCCCTTTCTGGAACTGCGAGGAGTAACAGCGTAGCCTACGTTGCTACCATGACAAAGAGCAAAGCCGGCGGGAGTACCGTTGTCAAGGACAGTGGTGTCTCTCTATCACACGTGAAGGATCTTTTAAACAAACAAAAAGAGTTCTACAAGCAGTTATTACAACAACAAGAAAATAGCTTCAAGTGCTTTGTCCAAATACTGGTGGATTCGACTAATAAAATAATGGACGACCTGACCAGAGTGGTCCAGGACCTAAAGAACAGTTTGCAGTTCTCCTAGGGTCAGCTCGATGAGTTGAAACAGGAGAACGGCAAGATTACAGCAATCTTTAAGTCATTGAGAGAGGACATCAGTTCTGTCTGTGAATCCATGATATCAATGATAATCTCGAGGGACAATCAAGGCGTAACAACATGGTTGTGGACGGAATTGCAGAATCTCCACATCTGGACGGAGTCTGAGGACAAAGTGAGGGAAATGATCTCTGAGAAATTGAAGATGGACCACATGAAGATTGAGGTGGAGCGCGCCCACAGGACTGGAAAACCCACCACCGGCCCAGGTGACAGGCCCAGGCCGACAGTGGTCAAGTTCCTGAGGTTCAAGGACAAGGTAGCTGTTCTGGAAAGAGCCAAGAACTTGAGAATAACTTATATCTTTCTCAACGAGGACTATCCTGAAGCTGTGCGCCAGAAGAGGAAAGAACTTATCACAGCCATGAAAGCTGCCAGAGTGCGTGGGGACATAGCTTACATCTGCTATGACAGGCTCATTGACCACCCTCCCTCCCAGGAGCCTGGAAGGGATGTGAGAGCCAAGCCTATGGGTTCGTAGCTTCAACCCCGCAGCACACACACACACACACACAATAATTGATTAATGGACTGCTGAATGTATATTTTTTTCTCTTGCTTTGTTTGCTCTTTCCAGTATTATGTCTATCTCTGATAAGCTACCCAGGAAAGGGCTGAAAATAGCCCATATTAATATATGTTGCCTTAGAAATAAGGCTCATGAAATCAATAACTTGCTAACATCAGATAACATTCATATATTAGCCATTTCTGAGACTCACTTAGATAATTCCTTTGATGATACAGCAGTAGCAATACAAGAATATAACATCTATAGAAGAAACAGAAATGCTTATGGGGGAGGTGTTGCTGTATATATTCAGAGCCATATCCCTGTAATGCTTAGAGAAGATCTTATGTCAAGTGTTATTGAAGTGTTGTGGTTGCAGGTTCACTTGCCACATCTAAAGCCTTTTCTTTTGGGGTGTTGCTATAGGCCACCAAGTGCGAACAGTCAGTATTTAAATAATATGTGTGACATGCTTGATAGTGTATGTGATGTAAACAGACTGGTCTAGGGGACCTGAATATTGACTGGTTTTCATCAAGCTGTCCGCTCAAGAGGAAGCTTCTTACTGTAACCAGTGCCTGTAATCTGGTTCAGGTTATTAATCACATTTTTACTAATACTGTAGAACTTTGTTCTAAAGCTGTATCCGTACCAATTGGATGCAGTGATCACAATATAGTGGCTATATCGAGGAAAGCCAAAGTTCCAACAGCTGGGCCTAAAATAGTGTATAAGAGATCATACAAAAGTTTTTGCTGTGGATGATGTAAAAAATATTTGTTGGTCTGATGTGATTAATGGCACCACAACAAACCTGCCAAGAGAGGGCCGCCCACCAAAACTCACGGACCAGGCAAGGAGGGCATTAATCAGAGAGGCAACAAAGAGACCAAAGATAACCCTGAAGGAGCTGTAAAGCTCCACAGTGGAGATTGGAGTATCTATCCATAGGACCACTTTAAGCCATACACTCCACAGAGCTGGGCTTTACAGAAGAGTGGCCAGAAAAAAAGCCATTGCTTAAAGAAAAAAATAAGCAAACACGTTTGGTGTTCGCCAAAAGGCATGTGGGAGACTCCCCAAACATATGGAAGAAGTTACTCTGGTCAGATGAGACCGATATTGAGCTTTTGGCCATCAAGGAAAACGCTATGTATGGTGCAAACCCAACACCTCTCATCACCCCGAAAACACCATCCCCACAGTGAAGCATGGTGGTGGCAGCATCATGCTGTGGGGATGTTTTTCATCGGCAGGGACTGGGAAACTGGTCAGAATTGAAGGAATGATGGATGGTGCTAAATACAGGGAAATTCTAGAGGGAAACCTGTTTCAGTCTTCCAGAGATTTGAGACTGGGACGGAGGTTCACCTTCCAGCAGGACAATGACCCTTTGCATACTGCTAAATAAACACTTGAGTGGTTTAAGGGGAAACATTTCAATGTATTGGAATGGCCTAGTCAAAGCCCAGACCTCAATCCAATTGAGAATCTGTGGTATGACTTAAAGATTTCTGTACACCAGTGAAACCCATCCAACTTGAAGGATCTGGAGCAGTTTTGCCTTGAAGAATCGGCAGAAATCCAAATGGCTAGATGTGCCAAGCTTATAGAGACGTACCCCAAGAGACTTGCAGCTGTAATTGCTGCAAAAGGTGGCTTTACAAAGTATTGACTTTGGGGGGTGAATAGTTATGCACGCTTAAGTTTTCTGTTTTTTTGTCTTATTTCTTGTTTGTTTCACAATAAAAATAATTTTGCATCTTCAAAGTGGTAGGCATGTTGTGTAAATCAAATGATACAAACCCCCAAAAAATCAATTTTAATTCCAGGTTGTAAGGCAACAAAATAGGAAAAATGCCAAGGGGAGTGAATACTTTCGCAAGCCACTGTAAGTCTGGCTGCACATCTGACTGGTTGACTTACTGCAAATTGAGAAATTATGTGACTAAACTCAACAAAAAGAGGAAGAAACTGTATTATGAAGCCAAAATCAATGATATAAAGAATTAAATGAAATTATGGGTAGAAAGACAAATTCAACTCCATCTTTCATCGAATCAGATGGCTTATTCATCACAAAACCATTTGATGTTGGCAGTTATTTTAATGATTACTTCATTGGCAAAGTGGGCAAACTTAGGCAGGAAATGCCAACAATGAACAGTGAGCCATCGTATTCATGCATAAAAAAAACAAATAATGAAAGAAAAGCATTGCAAGTTTTAATTTTGTAAAGTTAGTGTGGGAGAGGTGGAAAAATTATTGTTATCGATCAATAATGACAAACCTCCTGGCATTGACAACTTAGATGGAAAGCTACTGAGGATGGTAGCTGACTCTATAGCCATTCCTATCTGTCATATCTTTAATGTTGAGTGCCCTTTCCTATAAGCTTGCTGCCAGCTCTTAGCAAACTTTTGGAAAAAATGGTGTTTGACCAAATACAATGCTATTTCTCTGTAAACAAATTAACAACAGACTTTCATCATGCTTATAGGGAAGGACACTCAACATGTACTGCACTGACACAAATGACTGATGATTGGTTGAAAGAAATGGATAATAAGAAGATTGTGGGAGCTGTACTGTTAGATTTCAATGCAGCCTTTGATATTATTGACCATAACCTGTTGTTAAAAAAACGTATGTGTTATGGTTTTTTAACCTCTGTCATATGGCGGATTCAGAGCTATCTATCTAATAGAACTCAAAGAGTTTTCTTTAATGGAAGCTTCTCTAATGTCAAACATGTAAAGTGTGGTGTACCACAGGGCAGCTCTCTAGGCCCTCTACTCTTTTCTATTTTTACCAATGACCTGCCACTGGCATTAAACAAAGCATGTGTGTCCATGTATGCTGATGATTCAACCATATACGCATCAGCAACCACAACTAATGAAGTCACCGAAACCCTTAACAAAGAGTTGCAGTCGGTTTTGGAATGGGTGGCCACTAATAAACTGCTCCTGAACATCTCTAAAACTAAGAGCATTGTATTTGGTACAAATCATTCCCTAAGTTCTAGAACTCAGCTGAATCTGGTAATGAATGGTGTGGCTGTTGAACAACTTGAGGAGACTAAATTACTAGGCGTTCCCTTAGATTGTAAACTATCATGGTCAAAACATATAGATTCAATGGTTGTAAAGATGGGGAGAGGTCTGTCCGTAATAAAGAGATGCTCTGCTTTTTTGACACCACAATCCAAAAAGCAACTTCTGCAGGCTCTAGTTTTGTCTAATCTTGATTATTGTCCAGTCGTGTGGTCCAGTGCTGCAAGGGAAGACCTGGTTAAGCTGCAGCTGGCCCAAAACAGAGCGGCACGTCTTGCTCTGATATAAATCCTATGCATGCCAGTCTCTCTTGGCTAAGAGTTGAGGAGAGACTGACTGCATCACTTCTTCATTTTATAAGAAACATTAATGTGTTGAAAATCCCAAATTGTTTGCATAGTCAACTTACACACAGCTCTGACACACACACTTACCCCACCAGACATACCACCAGGGGTCTTTTCACAGTCCCCAAATCCAGAACAAATTCAAGAAAGTGTACAGTATTATATAGAGCCATTATTGCATGGAACTCTGTTCCCTCTCATATTGCTCAAATAAACAGCAAACCTGGTTTAAAAAAACAGATAAAGCAACACCTCACGGCACAACGCCTCTCCCCTATTTGACCTAGATAGTTTGTGTGTATGTATTGATATGTAGGCTACGTGTGCCTTTTAAAAAAAATGTATGTAGTTCTGTCCTTGAGCTGTTCTTGTCTATTAATGTTCTGTATTATGTCATGTTTCATGTTTTGTGTGGACCCCAGGAAGAGTAGCTGCTGCTTTTGCAACAGCTAATGGAGATTCTAATAAAATGCCAAATGGCACCCTATTCCCTAAACAGTGCACTATTTTTGTACCAGAGCCCTATGAACCATGGTAAAAAAAAAGCACTATATAGGGAATAGGGTGCTATTTGAGACGCAGTCTTAGTTTGTGCCTGTGTCAGCAGACAGTGATAAAGCTAGCGTTGAGTTATGACAGAATTATGAATCGTAATGCAAAACAGAAATCCATCAAGTGAATTTATTCAACAGGAGCAGATAAACATCCAGGAATTTATATGATATATATCAATTGGGAGGACTGCCCACTCTATGATATATTAATGACAGGCAGTCTGTGAGGGGGAGTGAGCTCCAGCAATGACAGCATTAGTGTTGCAAAAGTCTGGTAACTGTCCCAAAACCCACAGGTTTTGTAGAAATCCCAGTTGGGAGATCCCTGGAATCAGGAGGGAATAGGTAGGAAATCCAGAATCCTCCAACTGGGAATCCTCCAATCACAGGGACAGAGACAGGCACACACACACACACACACACACACACACACAGAGCAACATGTTGGTTGTGCTACCTGTACAGGTTCCTTGTGTTGAGTCTTGTGTTGGGTCATATGACGGTCCAGCTGTGTGCGGTAGGCGAAGGTGTAGCTGCACTGGGAGCAGCTGAAGTTGTCCTCACTCTTCTCGTGGCGTAGCTTGATGTGCTCCTTCAGGGCAGTGCAGCGCTTGTAGCCCCGCGAGCAGTACGGACAAGTCAGGAGCTGGGAAAGAGCGTCTGGCGTCCCTGTACAGTGGGGGAAAAAAATATTTAGTCAGCCACCAATTGTGCAGGTTCTCCCACTTAAAAAGATGAGAGAGGCCTGTAATTTTCATCATAGGTACACTGCAACTATGACAGACAAATTGAGGAAAAAAATTCCAGAAAATCACATTGTAGGATTTTTAATGAATTGATTTGCAAATTATGGTGGAAAATAAGTATTTGGTCACCTACAAACAAGCAAGAATTCTGGCTCTCACAGATCTGTAACTTCTTCTTTAAGAGGCTCCTCTGTCCTCCACTCGTTACCTGTATTAATGGCACCTGTTTGAACTTGTTATCAGTATAAAAGACACCTTTCCACAACCTCAAACAGTCACACTCCAAACTCCACTATGGCCAAGACCAAAGAGCTGTCAAAGGACACCAGAAACAAAATTGTAAACCTGCACCAGGCTGGGAAGACTGAATCTGCAATAGGTAAGCAGCTTGGTTTGAAGAAATCAACTGTGGGAGCAATTATTAGGAAATGGAAGACATACAAGACCACTGATAATCTCCCTCGATCTGGGGCTCCACGCAAGATCTCACCCCGTGGGGTCAAAATGATCACAAGAACGGTGAGCAAAAATCCCAGAACCACACGGGGGGACCTAGTGAATGACCTGCAGAGAGCTGGGACCAAAGTAACAAAGCCTACCATCAGTAACACACTACGCCGCCAGGGACTCAAATCCTGCAGTGCAAGACGTGTCCCCCTGCTTAAGCCAGTACATGTCCAGGCCCGTCTGAAGTTTGCTAGAGTGCATATGGATGATCCAGAAGAGGATTGGGAGAATGTCATATGGTCAGATGAAACCAAAATAGAACTTTTTGGTAAAAACTCAACTCGTCGTGTTTGGAGGACAAAGAATGCTGAGTTGCATCCAAAGAACACCATACCTACTGTGAAGCATGGGGGTGGAAACATCATGCTTTGGGGCTGTTTTTCTGCAAAGGGACCAGGACGACTGATCCGTGTAAAGGAAAGAATGAATGGGGCCATGTATCGTGAGATTTTGAGTGAAAAGCTCCTTCCATAAGCAAGGGCATTGAAGATGAAACGTGGCTGGGTCTTTCAGCATGACAATGATCCCAAACACACCGCCCGGGCAACGAAGGAGTGGCTTCGTAAGAAGCATTTCAAGGTCCTGGAGTGGCCTAGCCAGTCTCCAGATCTCAACCCCATAGAAAATCTTTGGAGGGAGTTTAAAGTCCGTGTTGCCCAGCGACAGCCCCAAAACATCACTGCTCTAGAGGAGATCTGCATGGAGGAATGGGCCAAAATACCAGCAACAGTGTGTGAAAACCTTGTGAAAACTTACAGAAAACGTTTGACCTGTGTCATTGCCAACAAAGGGTATATAACAAAGTATTGAGAAACTTTTGTTATTGACCAAATACTTATTTTCCACCATAATTTGCAAATAAATTCATAAAAAATACTACAATGTGATTTTCTGGATTTTTTTTCCTCAATTTGTCTGTCATAGTTGCCGTGTACCTATGATGAAAATTACAGGCCTCTCTCATCTTTTTAAGTGGGAGAACTTGCACAATTGGTTGCTGACTAAATACTTTTTTCCCCACTGTATATATATATTTTAAAAAAAACATTAAACACAGAGACACGTTTTATGTGCCAAATCACTCAAAAGCTCAGCTATCTCTCTGAAGATAGCTTCATTATGAGTAGATCAATAAGGTACGAGTTCTAAAAGGTGCAGCTATGGATATATTGACAGAGAGAGGGAGAAAGATATAGCCTACGAAACAAAGAAGATGTTTTTGGTGCCTAATCACTCAAAAGCTCTATCATGAGGGTCTCAATTACGAGGGTTGCGGTGCAGTGATGTACCATTCTCGTCTGGGACCCTTCTCTCAGGCATGCTCTTCTGCTCGTCCTCTGGAGCCTCAGGGTAGATGACCGCTGTGTCCCCCTGCTGTAGCATCTCCTCTACCAGGGCATCCTTACCCCCCTCCTCCTCCTCCTCCCCCTCTTCCCCTTCCTCCTCCTCCTCATCCTCCTGTTCAGAGCCACAGTCCTCCTTCACTGCAACACAGGAACACAGGAATACATGGTTTATTATATCATGAAGCTATTGCAGGTTCAGACTGTTTTGTATGTCTAGTTACTCTCTCAAATCTTTGTATCTACAAGGAACTCTTTGCATAAAACCATTATCTGTTAACAGGTTAATGTGGACTAAAATGTCACTGCAAAATATTAGAGTTCCTTCTTAACTTGTCCCCCAAAGCCATGTACGCTTTAAAATCATTTCAGATCTGGTCTGTAGATTGTGATTCTGTTTAGGCTTGTGGAGACATGAATTCCATGAAACAGTCCTCCCTCCTCCCTCTGTGTCACTAGTCTCTCAGATAATAACAGTACTGTGTGACCAGTCTTCCAGACTGTGCGCAGTGTGACGCCGCAGGGCCTCTGTGACCTCAACCAGCCTTCAACCAGCTCTCCCTTCACACAGTACAGCCATGAATACAGTACAGTACAAGACCCTGAGCCAAGATCTCTCTCTGTCTCTCTGTCTCTCTGTCTCTCTCTCTCTCTCTCTCTCTCTCTCTCTCTCTCTCTCTCTCTCTCTCTCTCTCTGTCTCTGTCTCTGTCTCTGTCTCTCTGTCTCTGTCTCTCTGTCTCTCTCTCTCTCTCTCCTCTCTCTCTCTCTATCGCTCTGTCTCTTTCTGTCTCTCTCTCTATCTCTCTCTCTCTCCTCTCTCATCTCTCTCTCTCTCTCTCCTCACTCTCTCGCACACAGCACGTTGGATTTCAATACACCCGAAAACAGTGCCTAAAAGCGTAACAATCCCAACCATGACCTGAATATAATGTAAGGATAAAATGAAAACATGCATAAACCAAGTTGATGTAGGCCTATGCCTTACTAATATTCAACAAAGTGAAAGTGTGAGAGGTTAACCATAACCATATAAAACTGCTCCAAGCCTTCACAATGCCTGACTCTTTCCATCGAATAAGGTTGCAGCCCAACAAGCTGACGAAGGCTGTCATCGAAACATGTCAGTTTGACCACTGCTACTGCTGAACAACATAACATACTATTTCAGTGAGTGCAGGACTTCCTTTTCTCTGGCCCAGGTCAGGAATGTCTGCCTGCCATTAGAGTTAGTAGGACTGCCTACTGGACTTCCGAACTGAGATCTCACCAGCTGCACCCCTCCCTCCCCTCCTCCCCTCATTCTGGATCACTTCTTCATCTCCTCCTCTCCTCCTGTCCTTCCTTCTCTCCTCCTCTCCTGTATCCCCTCCTCCTCTCCTTCTCATGCCACTCCAACAGGAGAACAGCCTCCACAGTCTACAGTATCACACAGGGCTCTAGCCGCTCCACCGTATGTGACCATTTAGCATTCTGAGGACCTAAATAGCTATTTATACAGTACATGACCTGTGAAGGGCCACAGCCCCACTAACACCCAACTAAACCTTCCTTCCCAGCCCCACTAACACCCCACTAAACCTTCCTTCCCAGCCCCACTAACACCCCACTAAACCTTCCTTCCCAGCCACACTAACACCCCACTAAACCTTCCTTCCCAGCCCCACTAACACCCCACTAAACCTTCCTTCCCAGCCCCACCTCTCCACCTCTCCACCTCTCTAACCACCTACTCACCCTCTACTGCGGACACAACTGTAACATTTGTGTTGTGGAGAATATTACACAACTGTAACATTTCCCCTGTAGACCTGTACTCCCCACGAGGCAGGGAATAAAGGTTAGTGTGTAGGCTACAACTCGCATGTAGGCTGTGTATGAGCTGTCGTAACATAGCTCTACCGTATAGCATTTCTTCTTAGTAACCGCATAGTAACAGATGCAGATCACAGATGATTACAACAACCAACAGGCAATCCCTTAGCCATCCACATGAAAGGATGCAGTCAATTCTTTCAGGACCTTAGTTCTACTGCACTACAGACATTGGTTCATTGAAAGGCTAAGGATAAAAGAGAAACTTGAGCACAGGTATTGTAGTGTTCACAAGGTATTGTTATTCTGTTCGACACCTCCTGTCTGAATCTTGGACTCACACCACACTTATGATACACTCACCTACTTGCAAGCCTTAACCAGCTTGACAAAACTGTGTGTTTGAGTTTAAGACAGACAGAGAGAACTTCTAACGCGAGTGGGGCAGGTGTGGCTTCATGACAATGATCAAGAGCAGTTGCTCACCAATATAATTATTATTTTTACCCCCTTTTTCGATCTTGTCTCATCACTGCAACTCCCCAACGGGCTCGGGAGAGGCGAAGGTGGAGTCATGCGTCCTCCAAAACATGACCCGCCTAACCGCGCTCCTTAACCTGGAAGCCAGCTGCACCAACGTGTCAGAGGAAACACTGTTCAACTGGCGACTGGAGTCAGCCCGCAGGCACCCGGCCTGCCACAAGGAGTCGCTAGAGCACAATGAGCCAAGTAAAGCCCCAAAGGCCAAACCCTCCCCTAACCCGGACGACGCTGGGTAAAGCCCCAAAGGCCAAACCCTCCCCTAACTCGGACGACACTGGGCCAATTGTGCGCTGTCCTATGGGACTCCTGGCCACGGCCGGTTGTGGCACAGCCCAGGAAATGAACCCGGGTCTGTAGTAACGCCTCTAGCACTGCAATTTAATGCAGTGCCTTAGACCGCTGCGCCACTCGGGAGGCCGCTCACCAATTTGACAGCTCCAACACAGTTACACCTCCGACACGCCAAAACATCAGCTATGCGGGTGTCGGCTATCGCCGGTTAACGCTTGATCTGATTGAATCTAGGCCTTAGAGACAATAACGAGGTCATTAAGGTTGATTAAAATGTGACACTAGAGAGGAATGTGACCTGTGTGTGTGTGTTTGTGTGTGTGACCTGAGGATGTAATGATACACAGCTCTGTTCTTCCCCCTTCACCACCCTCCCTCCACTTCCTCTAATTAACACAACATACTCTGCTCCAACTGGCCACAGGGCACACACACACGCTCACACAGATGACCGCTCACATAACTTGGTTATGATGAGTAACGAGAGGGAGCTTTTCTTCCTGCATACCGTTCCTTGGGAATTCTCTGAAATGTTATATAAAGTTGATTGGATAGAATCCAACCTGAGAGAGAAACTGAATTCCCATGGATGGGTTATATGTTAGGAAGCAGGGATACGATAAGAAGACACTTGATTCTAGTATGACTGACAGTCAGAGCTACAGTTCAAAGTCTCAGTCTCCTCCACTGAAAAGAGCTCTTACTGGTTCCACCATTCAGTGGATCCGAGCCATCGCTTAATACGACTGAACACTTCTGCAGGTAGCTATAGCGTTGCCATGGGGATTAAGCATTTTTAAACGGTGCCAGGACCTGTGCCAGCAGGCCCTGGCCCTTCCTGCTGAGAGCAGCCAAGAGAGGGACAGGTGCAGCTTGAGAGAGCAGACGCTGCCATAGAATTATAATAGAGTAGAACGGGCATCCCCATTCACCAGTCACAATTGCCATGGTCAGAGCTTCTGCGCCCGTTCTACTCATTCTAATTCTATGGGCTCTGCTGCTAAAGGCCCTCTCATAAAAGGAGGGGGAGGAGCCCAGGCTACAGCACTCCTGCTAACCCTCAACCCTTTCACTTCCCATGACCTCATGCTTTACCAGCACTCCAAAACAATCCTGCTCTCTCTCTCTACCTCTCTCTCTCTGCCTCTCCCCCTTTCTCTTACTCTCTCACTATCTTCCTTTCTCTATTTTGCTCTCTTTCTCTTTCTTTCCCTTTCTCTCTCTCTCTCTCTCTCTCTGAGCTCATTCTTCAGAGACCTCTTGGAGTATTTTCTGTATTTATGTGGTTTGATCTCTCTGTGCATCATCAGACTTTAATAATTTCCATTAAAATACTAAAATGAACGGCAGTAGTCAAAGCCTGAATAGAAAAGGCAGAGATGTTCAATACCAGTGAGGAGAGGAAAACATAAAATTATCAGACCTCGGTTCAAATACTATTTGATTGAGCTTGCCTGGTACAATGGCACCAATAGAATTGTTGAGAAGGTGAAAACCCAGCCCATCTGGCACCCCAGACAGGCTAGAACAAACACTCAAAGTATTTGATCGATTTCAAATCATATTTGAACCCACCAGGTCTAGGCATCGTATGGTGCCACACTGTTCAGGCTTTCCCACACCGCGCTACAACATTTCACACAGACCCAACTGAATTTACAACCCAACATGGGTCTAACTGCAATGGAAAATATATACTGTATATACAGTGGGGAAAAAAAGTATTTAGTCAGCCACCAATTGTGCAAGTTCTCCCACTTAAAAAGATGAGAGAGGCCTTTAATTTTCATCATAGGTACACGTCAACTATGACAGACAAAATAAGAAGAAAAAAATCCAGAAAATCACATTGTAGGATTTTTAATGAATTTATTTGCAAATTATGGTGGAAAATAAGTATTTGGTCAATAAAAAAAGTTTCTCAATACTTTGTTATATACCCTTTGTTGGCAATGACACAGGTCAAACGTTTTCTGTAAGTCTTCACAAGGTTTTCACACACTATTTTGGCCCATTCCTCCATGCAGATCTCCTCTAGAGCAGTGATGTTTTGGGGCTGTCGCTGGGCAACACGGACTTTCAACTCCCTCAAAGATTTTCTATGGGGTTGAGATCTGGAGACTGGCTAGGCCACTCCAGGACCTTGAAATGCTTCTTACGAAGCCACTCCTTCGTTGCCCGGGCAGTGTGTTTGGGATCATTGTCATGCTGAAAGACCCAGCCACGTTTCATCTTCAATGCCCTTGCTGATGGAAGGAGGTTTTCACTCAAAATCTCACGATACATGGCCCCATTCATTCTTTCCTTTACACGGATCAGTCGTCCTGGTTCCTTTGCAGAAAAACAGCCCCAAAGCATGATGTTTACACCCCCATGCTTCACAGTAGGTATGGTGTTCTTTGGATGCAACTCAGCATTCTTTGTCCTCCAAACACGACGAGTTGAGTTTTTACCAAAAAGTTATATTTTGGTTTCATCTGACCATATGACATTCTCCCAATCCTCTTCTGGATCATCCAAATGCACTCTAGCAAACTTCAGACGGGCCTGGACATGTACTGGCTTAAGCAGGGGGACACGTCTGGAACTGCAGGATTTGAGTCCCTGGCGGCGTAGTGTGTTACTGATGGTAGGCTTTGTTACTTTGGTCCCAGCTCTCTGCAGGTCATTCACTAGGTCCCCCTGTGTGGTTCTGGGATTTTTGCTCACCGTTCTTGTGATAATTTTGACCCCACGGGGTGAGATCTTGCGTGGAGCCCCAGATCGAGGGAGATTATCAGTGGTCTTTTATGTCTTCCATTTCCTAATAATTGCTCCCACAGTTGATTTCTTCAAACCAAGCTGCTCACCTATTGCAGATTCAGTCTTCCCAGCCTGGTGCAGGTCTACAATTTTGTTTCTGGTGTCCTTTGACAGCTCTTTGGTCTTGGCCATAGTGGAGTTTGGAGTGTGACTGTTTGAGGTTGTGGACAGGTGTCTTTTATACTGATAACAAGTTCAAACAGGTGCTATTAATACAGGTAACGAGTGGAGGACAGAGGAGCCTCTTAAAGAAGAAGTTACAGGTCTGTGAGAGCCAGAAATCTTGCTTGTTTGTAGGTGACCAAATACTTATTTTCCACCATAATTTGCAAATAAATTCATTAAAAATCCTACAATGTGATTTTCTGGATTTTTTTCTTCTTATTTTGTCTGTCATAGTTGACGTGTACCTATGATGAAAATTAAAGGCCTCTCTCATCTTTTTAAGTGGGAGAACTTGCACAATTGGTGGCTGACTAAATACTTTTTTTCCCCACTGTATAACCCCACATAAAACATTTCTATAATATACTATGGTTGAAATACTATAGTATTCACTGTAGTGTTTTTGCGAACTTTACTGTAGTATTTACTGTAGTATACTCTAGTATTTACAGTTAACTATAGTATAAATCCTGTAGTGAAATAAAACTGTAGTGTTTACTATAAACTCAGCAAAAAAAGAAACGTCCCCTTTTCAGGATCTTTCAAAGATAATTCGTAAAAATCAAAATAACTTCACAGATCTTCATTGTAAAGGGTTTAAACACTGTTTCCCATGCTTGTTCAATGAACCATAAACAATTAATGAACATGCACCTGTGGAACAGTCGTTAAGACACTAACAGCTTACAGACAGTAGGCAATCGGACAAAAAAGAGGCCTTTCTACTGACTCTGAAAAACACCAAAAGAAAGTTGCCCAGGGTCCCTCCTCA